AATATACTTTGAAATAACTCACTTAAACAGAAATGTCAGCTTGTCTATTGACTTTTGTAGTTGTTTCTTCAGTAAAATATTCTAGATCATCTTAGTAAAGAAGAAATAATATTCACCTGAAATATGATTTTCAGTTTCCTGAAATTTCAGCAAATGTTTATTACACTACTTGTCGCATAACACAAGTAAAGGAAGTGTAAAACAAGCTCGTACGATATCATGATAACAACTTTTGATTTTGAAAAAGTTTTATATATTATTATCTTGGTCTATCATATGGCACTTCAAGGTATCATGGCTGACATTAGAAACTCTTCTGATGTGCATTTTTACTTCATGTAACAAATGCAACATTGTTGAAAATTTCAATTATAAAACTTTAAAACTTAAAAAGGAACAGGTTAATATTTACCTGAAATATAATTTTCTTTTTTTCTGAAATTTCTACTTCGCTACTTATCACATAAGACAAGTAAAACAAGTGAAAAACAAGCTTTATTCGTTTGCTTCCACACACACACACACACACACAAACAAAAAAAAAATCAGTAGAATCAATCTTGGATCAATCTCCTTTATGATATTTTTATATCAAACCGAGTTCAATGCTGTTTATACTGATTTCATATAAGGTCAGTTTTTGTATATGGATTGTTTGTATTATATTAGCGTTACTTGATAGGGCTTACAAACTGCAAAACTGATAAAAAACATTTAGATGACTTTTGATAAGAAATGTGCAAGTTTGCTTATCATCTTCCGATTAGATTATGTATCTATAATGTTCGGTACTCAAAATATCTGATATATTTTTGTTTCAAGCTATTAACAACAAAATTTTCTACTGCTGTTTAAAAATACAGAAAAATATTTAATATTGATTTTGAATCCATCAGTCCAATTTGGCTTACTGTCCTATTTAGTTGTAATAAAATTCCATAAGAATGATTTGTTTCTCAAATATTTCAAGGAGCATATATTGTTCTTGTAGTGATGTATGGAGATCTTATAGAACCGTTGTGAAACCACCAGGGTGCCTAGGATGTCCTAATTGTTAGGGCACTCAAATCGTAACCTGGTGGTCGCGAGTTCGAATTCCGTCACGGTAATACCGTTAAAATGTGACGACAAGTCCCTCTTTTCGTTGGTAAGGAATAGCCCAAGAGTTGGTGGTGTCGACTAGCTGTCTTCCCTCTCTTGTCTATCGTTTCAAAATTAGGGAATGCTAGGGCTGATAGCCCTTGAGTAGCTTTGCGTGAAATTCAATAAAACATTCAAATACACCATGGTTGATGTTGCTTGAATAAGAAGATACTTATTTCTGTCGAATATATTTTTGGCCAATTTCGAGATTTCCTCGTACCTATAGAACATTCCAAGAACAACACTAAATAAAGCAAGAACTCATAACCGATGTTGTAACTCAATGCTGGAGTATATTCAATTCCTTAGCAGTTTCAGAAAAACAAAAGAAAAAACAACAACTTTGAACATAGAAGGGTAATAAATTTAGAATTTCCCTCAATTTTTTTCCTAGTTTTGTTTTTATTAAACAAGCCAGTAGATAGTTTCTAAACTAATCTTAAATTCAGGAACCGGTATAGGTTTGCTTTATCATTTCTTCATTAATAAGTATTTTGGTATTTTCAACCTGAACAGCACTTTATATGGCCCATGAACTAAACAACAAGGTCAAGAGTTCCAAGGATCAGGCATTAGAATTTAGAACTGCAGAAGGAACATAGAGGAACCAATTAGCAGCACCCACCGCCCGTTATGAGAATAATCTTAATCGAATAGCGGCATTGACTCTCACAGTTATAACACTCCTACAGTTAAAAGTACTGAGCATGCTTAGTAGCATATCGTAGCTGAAGCCTTGGATATTCCGATACTCATAATGGCGCACTAATCATTAAGTCCCGGTTCGTTTCAGTTAGAAACACCAAGGAGAACCTAAAAAAACAACTACTGATCGTTGTTAATTGTCTACTCTATGTTGTTCGTATGTCTAGTTTTATGTTTATAGAAGGACATAACTAGAAAAAACAACGTTCAGAAAACGTAAATGTAACTATGACGCTCTTTAAAATCACTTGTTTTGCTGATCAAGAAACTCAAGAGCCCTGTACGTATTCTTCTGGAAAAACAACAACAGCTTAGATCTTTGACAAATTTACAGCATGACATCATTGACTGAAAAGTTGAATCCTATAAACATTGATAAAAACTCTCAGTAATACGTGATATTAACTTCTGGTCTAATCGAACTATCTATTTAGATTGAAAATGAAATTCAGCCTGGTAATGAATATAGCTAATTAAATATGTTTTTCTTAAGTTCTTATTAATAAAGATTAGAATGCATATTTCATGACTTGGGTATCCTCGATATTAATGAGGGTATCTTTTCTATCCTTGAAAGTCGTTTTCCTGAGTCAGTAGTGTTTATTTCATAATTAAAAATATATTGTCCAGTATTAAAAGCGTCTTCTTGTATAGATACGCGCAGTTTCGAACATTAGTTATGGTGTAAACGCTTTTGTTGGACGAGCATCGTATATTAATCTAAGCAAAAACACCTTAAGTGTGAAAAAATAGGTGTGGCCAAAACAAGATTGAGTGTGCGACCAAACTGGTAGCTACACTTATAGCAATGATATGAAGTTCACAGCGAATATTCTTTCATTAGTTAGTAAGGCCGCGTTTTTTGTTCAACTTGGGGCATGATGGTGGGTAAAACAAAATATGTGGCCTAGCTAACTAATGAATGAATATTTGATGTGAAATTCTTATTAATGCTATAAGTGTAGCTACCAGTTTGACCGCAAATGTTGATTTCATTTCTTTAAGTCGCACGCTCAATCCTTTTTTGGCCGCACCTTTTTTTTCACATCTAAGGTGTTTTTTATTAGATATCATGACTTTTTGTCAATACACACCAACAAACCGCAGCAAGTAAGAAAGTGACACTCGATAGTAACAAACATTAGTTTTAGGATTGCAACCCTATTATTCGGAACAAACCTTTACTTTACAAAACCAACCAGATTTTAAAAAATATATGGTGATAATTTTTCATCTCTAAAGCAATATTAATAGCTTTGTTTATAGTAACGCCATGGAATTTAGATTAACAGGTTCTTGTCATCACCCCCATGCAATCGGTGCGCCGTATCAAACATCATTATATAATTGGTTAAATTAATATCGCGTGACACTAAATGCTCTTTAATTAGGATAATTTCATAAAATTTAGTAAGTTTGTGCTGAAATGTTGGCAATAAATAACCAATAATAACCGTCCACTCGTATGATTGTTTTGAAAACTTGAGCTAGAAACTGCTAATCTAGTTTGCTTGTCTTAACCAATACTTATGTATCTGCATGCCCTTTTATCTTATAGTTTTGCTGCTCTAAATCAGCCGTCTTTAATCCGAATAACAAAAAACAAAAAATGGTCCATTTTTACTCTTAGATAAAGCTGTAGTATTAGACTTATAGATCACATAACTTTTTGCGTAGGCGTGGCAAAAAGTTTCGTCAAATTTGGGCGGTGTTTCTTGAATACCTTTGCACATGTGGATTATATTTACACCAAATGAGAATCATAATTGTAGATTGAAAAGATCTATCAGTGTAACAAACTTGAAAAAAATCCATAACATTTAAGTATGTTTTTCTATCAAATAAGGTTTCGGTACTTTTGGTGCGAAGAAAAAATAGAAAAAAAACTCAATCAAAATTAGAGATGTTATATCTCAGGCATTTCTTGATGGATTGTCTTGAAATTTGGTAAGTGAAGTAAGAGTCAAGTAGAGCACATCCACTATGCAATAGATTGGATTAACACAGTCAGAGATACTGAAGGTGGAAAAACGCCAAACTATCACTTTTGTTGATAACACACAGTGTATTCTGCAAAACGTTGTTTTGGCCGCACGACACAATACCTTGTTGTTTGTCCATGAGCTTACAACAGTCTTGGAGCTGGCAGGATCAAACCTGGCAGACGGATTCGGGGGGGGCGATCCGTATTTATATGACGTACCGTATAACTTGGCTAAAACCCACCCGGAAGTCACAATAACATAACGGCGATCAACAAGGGTTAGATTTTCATGGTCGTTAAACTCGAAACTGGCATCAGAATTTATGTTCCTGGACCCCGTCGGCATTCCGGGGGTGTCATTTTTGAAACTTTTCTTACTATCACTCACAATATAACAGGAATAAACTTGCACGTGCTCAAGTACCACGGGTTGGTGTTTTAATGTGTGTTTTTTCGGGAGGTACAGACCCACTTG